CCGATGCGGGACTCGATCCAGGGACTCCAGGATCATGACCTGAGCCGAAGGCAGTCGCTTAACCAACTGAGCCACCCAGGCGCCCTAAATAAATACAATCTTAAAAAAAAAAATTAAAAAAAGATCACCAGTGAAATTTTTGGGCCGGGAAGGAACGAATGTAGGCCAACATGCTCATCTTTCCAGAGGAGGATGCCAGGTTGGGTGGCTGACTTACAGTTCCCTACACGGCAGAAAGGCAACTAGAACCCTCGTTTCTCTGCTCTCTATTTAACCGACATGCTTTTTTCACTTAATTAGGTGGGCCCCTCATACAGAACCCTCCCAAAAGCCCTCAAGAAATAGGGCCTGGAAACAGTATGTGGGATCTGGAGCAGACAAGCTGCCAAATGACAGGTGACTGCAGCTCACAAACTACTCAGACACAGTCAGTGAGAAGCCACTTCTCCTCCTGGAGTGTCGAGGCCAGGAAGACAGAGGAACAGGGTGACCACTCACTGAGCTTCCTCCTGATCCAGTCTCTCAGCCTCAGCCTGGACCTTCTCGAGATTTTCTGCCACTATCTTGCGGTTCTTTTCCACATCTTCCAGCTCCTGGATCAGCCTCTCCTCCTCTAATGCCAGCTCCTTTAGCTCCCTCTGTAGCTGTTCACTGTCGTCCTCATTCATCTGCTCTAAGAGCTCTAAACAGCGTCTGCCAAGGACACAGGCAGAATATACTCACTGCAGGGAAGCTGTTACGCTGTTTACCTGAGTGGAGCACAGCTCCCGGGGAAGAGCCAAGCAGTCTGAGAGCAGGCACAGCTCTCGGGTTCCGGGCACTAGTTCTAGAGGCACTCACTTGTAGTTCTGACACTCATTTTCAGTGACGTTGAGCTGAGTGTCCAGTTGGTCTAAAAGAGTGTCTGTGCATTCCTCACACAGCGGGTGATCCACATCGGTCTGGCCTGACATGATGTCAAAAAGGTCCCCAGTGACCTGGAAGTGTGGGGTGGGGGAGAGTCAGGGTAGGGCCTGCCCCAGGCGACCTGTCGGGCCACCCGCTCTAGCAGCCAGGCCCACCGCTGGACGCCGCAACACCGCCCACTTGCCTTCAGTCTTCGGCTGAGATTCTCCATGGTGCCGCCATCAGATGCCTCCCCAATCAGAGTGAAGCTGTTGGCACTTTCTGTAGACATCATCCTGCAGACAGCCCCCCGCCCACGGGCCACATGAGGGAGCAGAGAGGCCTCCTCCACCTACTGCAGGTTCAGTGGCAGAGACTCTCAAGCACCGGCTGAGGGGCCTCAAGGCGCATACCCACTCCTAGCCCGACTGACCTCCCAAGGGTACCTCTCTCCCAAGGGAAGGCCATGCTGGTCTTCCACAGGGGCACTCAGCACGAAGGTTGGCCTGGATGGACTAAGGAGGGAGAGGGGGCATCAAAAACTGACACGTGTGTGTGTCTACAGTAGAAAAGGAAGGAGAATCAGGAAAGACCATTTTTAAATATCATACCACTCGCCAGTAGCCTTCACATGCATCAACAACTAAGAACCTGAACGTCTAACAACATCTACTATTTTAAAGCTTTTCAAGAGCCCATCTCTTTTATTAGTCATTCACTCCCTCAGACTTTTCTTGATTCTTCATCAAGACAGCCACTGTCCCTTCCCACTGTGTGAATGGCTACAGGGAAAACCAATACTGGAAAGTGATGGGCCAGGTATAAGAGAATACATCTTTTCTGGAAGAGCCAAAAGGCTCGGTGATTTATCTCCATCACCTGGCTCCAGGTCTCAATTCTGGGTTTCATTAAAATTCTACTGGCCTTTGGCAAGGAACAGGGGGCTGGGGAGTGGTAGGCACCTGGCTGGGGGGATGAATCTGCGAGAGACACCATCCTGGCGAGTTTCAAGAAATGGCTCCTGGGAAGGAAATAAGAGGGCGTTATAATTCTGGCAGCTTAGAGGTGGAGTCCCAAACAGTCTCAGCAATATCTGGCTTTACCCTTGATGGACAACTGCAGGACTTGATAAACCACAGAGACTTAAGAAATAGGTGTTACCTAGCCAATCCTTGGATATGTGCACTAAGAAAGGACCCCTGGTACAGATAAACCCCAAGTCCCATGTGATTTTTTGTGGGAAACATCTCCTATGTTATACTCTATTGTAGTTAAATTTGTATTTTCTCAACACTTACCAGTTAAGGGTAGGGGAAAGAATGCCCTGAATCACGGCACAGGGAAAAAGCCAGATCAGATTGCAATGAAGTTTGCCATGGCATACAACAAAGTAGATAATTTATATGCTTTTGATATTTTGATATAATTTATATATGATCAAATTCTTATGACATCTACGTTTGACAAAGAAAATTATCACTGACACTATCACAGTTTAAAAATGACATGTTTGGGGCGCCTGCATGGCTCGGTCAGTTAAGCATCTGCCTTCGGCTCAGGTCAGGAGCTCAGGGTCCCAGGATCAAGCTCCGCATTGGGCTCCCTGCTCAGCAGAGAGTCTGCTTCTCCCTCTCCTTCTGCCCTCCCCGCCCCCACTCATGCACATGCACTCTCAAATAAAATCTTTAAATAAATAAACATGACATGTTCTCTAATACTGACAATCCTTTCTGGCTAGAGTAATTACACTCTAGTCCAAACCAAGCTACTTTTGAGAACGGAGAGGAGTGAATATTAATAATTAGCTAGGACAACGGATGTAAACTAGGCATGCCTTGGGATGACCTGGACACACAGATCATCTCGTCTCCCACCTATAATGGCTTGTAATTCTGCTTCAAATAAAAAGCCTCTCCCCACATTTTTTAATTATGCCTCATTCAGTCATCGTGTGACCTCAGCTGCACTTCAGGATCTCCCTGATGACCCACAGTGGCCCGATCATGTAGAACATCTCTTGTTAACCAGAGATCCCAAAGGTCTGGGGACTCCTGAAGCACCAAGTACCCTGCAGAAACCCAGTGTGCATTGCAGTGTTGCATACCTCTCCTGAGTTAGCCTCTTCCTCTTGGGTCTCTCCTGGTTTCACCTGGGCTGTGGCAAGTAATGGAGCTAAGGATAAGGAAAATATTAGAGTTAGGAAGAGTCTTTTTTTTTTTTTAAAGATTTTATTTATTTATTTGAGACAGAGAGAATGAGAGACAGAGAGCATGAGAGGGAGGAGGGTCAGAGGGAGAA